ACCCAGGAGGCAGAGGTTGCGGTGAGCCGAGATCGCGCCATTGCACTCCAGCCTGGGCAACAAGAGCGAAACTCCATCTTAAAAAAGAGTGAAATAACATAAAACTGTGAATTTTGTTTCAGTATAGATTTATGTTGAAAATTAACGAGAAGGCAGGGCATGGTGGCTCACATCTGTAATCCCAGCACTTTGGGAGGCCAAGGCGGGTGGATCACAAGGTCAGGAACTCAAGACCAATCTGGTCAACAACATGGTGAAATGCTGTCTCTACTAAAAATGCAAAAATTAGTTGAGCTTGCTGGCAGGAGCCTGTAATCCTAGCTACTCAGAGGCTGACGCAGGATAACTGCTTGAACCTGGGAGGCAGAGGTTGCAGAGATCACGCCATTGCACTCCAGCCTGAGTAGTAAGAGCGAAACTCCGTCTCAAAAAAAAAAAAAAAAAAAAAAAAAAAAAAAAAAAAAAAAAAAGGGGCCGGGTGCGGTGGCTCAAGCCTGTAATCCCGGCACTTTGGGAGGCCGAGGTGGGTGGATCACGAGGTCGAGAGATCGAGACCATCCTGGTCAACATGGTGAAACCCCGTCTCTACTAAAAATACAAAAAATTAGCTGGACATGGTGGCACGTGCCTGTAATCCCAGCTGCTCAGGAGGCTGAGGCAGGAGAATTACCTGAACCCAGGAGGCGGAGGTTGTGGTGAGCCGAGATCGCTCCATTGCACTCCAGCCTGGGCAACAAGAGCGAAACTCTGTCTCAAAAAAAAAAAAAAAAAAAAATTAAAGAGGAAAAATACTGAGTGAATCCAAGATGGTATTGCTATATGTGAAAGTCATCCATCCATCCTCCATCCATCTATTATCCATCCATCCATCCATCCATCCACCCACCCACCCACCCACCGACCCCCTAACTCCGGCCAACCAACCAACTAACTCAACCCACCAACCAACTTTATTGAGCCTGAATGGTGCAAAGGACTAGAGATACAAAGATAAATAAGATATCACAGGCCAGGTACAGTAATCCCAGCATTTTGGGAGGCCAAGGTATGCAGATTGCTTGAGCCTAGGAGATTGAGACCAGCCTGGGCAACATGGTAAAACCCTGTATCTACAAAAAGAAAAAAAATATATATACAAAAATTAGCTGAGTGTGGCAGTGTGTGCCTGTAGTCATAGCTACTTGGCAGGCTGTGGAATCACTTGAGCCCAGGAGGTGGAGGTTGAGGCAATGAGCCAAGATTGCATTGCACTCCAGCCTGGTCAAAGGGAATGAAATCCTGTCTAAAAAAAGAAAGAAAGAAAAGAAAAGATACCACCTCCATTCTCAAAAAACTCAGTCTAAGATAAGAAAGGGACTTTGAAAGTTCAGTTCAGTTTATTAGAGTGTCAAGTAGATTTAAAACTATTGCACTTATCATTCTGGTGACAAAAGGCCAAAATTTAAGATGGAGATTTTCCTCTAATAAAGATAGGCTTTCAAAACCTTCAATTTAAGATGTTAAAGTTATAAAGGCAAAGATATATACCTCATGTCCCATTCCATACCCTTCCTGCTATTGTACAGTTTGCTGCAAATAAGAATTTGGATAATGTTTTAAATCACTGACTTCTCATGAAATTACTTTTGAGTGAAATTTGACAAGAATTTTTTTTATGCTCTCTTCTTTATCAAAATATGTTGTAAGCCTCCATAGTCCAAAATAATATGTAACCATAGAATGGGAAGATAACTTTAGTCAAAGACAAAGTAAATATTACCTTCCTTGCATAACTCCAGGTGGTATTCATGTAAAACTGTAGCCATTGGTTGCCTAACTTTTTGGACAATGGGAAAAAAAGCAATAGCTAAAACGTGGTCCAGCATATGAAACTCTTCTCAAAAACAGAAGAAAATCATGAACATTGTTGGGAAAGTGTTTTACATTTCCAATGAAATTCTATTTCATTGATCTGTTTAGAAGATTGTCTTCAACCTATTTGGCTCTAGCCCATAAACTGTAATCGATTCAGTAATGTAAAGAGCCACTTTTTAAAAATCTTAAGCTTATAATTTATATGAATGGAAAGCAGGAAAGTTGTTTTTTCATTTACTCTAATAATTGTGCAGGGATGAACTATGGAAAAAATAAAACAAAAAAAGTACCAGTCTTCTTAAATTATTTTTCTTTCTGATTATATTACAAAGAAATGAGCTGTGGAGGTTTGGCACTACTTTCCATCTGAACAGTCGTTCTGTATTCTAAGATTTTATATGTGATTCATAATGTACTATGATAACAAGACACAGTTTTTATGTATTACTGGAATAATGCAAAGAAAATGAATTTTCCTTTGGGTCCAGTAATTGTCAAAGGAATGATTGCAGATTCAGAAAATATGCTTTGTAATAATCTTGTTAACATAAAGTATACATTGAGGAAAGAAATAAGTATGGCACGTATATGGAAGGATTAGTTGTATTAGCAAGGCATTTCAGGGATGGTTGTGATTCTTTAGACTAAGTAAGATACATCCAATTTTGACCCCCTTCAAATCCTTGGACAAATGGGATCACTTGGCAACATAAGGATTGTTTGGTAGGCACGGGTTGATTTTGCAATGTGCTTACAAATGCCCCAACTAGTCAGTAAACTATCCTGCCTGAAAAAAGGATTTGCTCTGGTAATAAGGCTGATATGCTCAAGCTGTAAGAATTAATTTGAATTATCAAAAATGAAATTTAGATTACTAATCATGTCCTGATACAGCATGTAGAATATCAAATGTCCTCTTTTTAAAGTAAAGTAAAAAAATGAAGAAGCATGGTTAATTCACTTGTGCTGAATAAAATAGATGTCCATGTGCAACTGCTGCATGTGAGCCTCCCCATGCTGCCATGCCACCAGAGGCTTTCCCTTTGCCTTGCTAATCCCGCTAGATGTTTTTCTCGGTAGAATCCTAGCTCATGGGTTTCCATGTGCATGTTTCTACTGTAATGAAAACTAACTACAAAATCTAGAAGTTTTCTGCTTTCAGAAAATTCTAGTGTACTATGTACAGCTTAGATATTTCTTTTTCAGTTAAAAAAAATAGTGCAAAAACATATCTGATAGTCAAGGTGATACTTCAAGTGAGTTCTTGTGCCAAGGAACACAGTCAAGCTTCTCCTTTAGCTGACTTGTAGAAACTGTACGTAATTTTTGGGAAATATTCCAGATTTTCCCATCAGTTCTCCACTCATCCAGTCATCATCTACAGATTCCAGCTCTATTATTATATCTCCAGCCTGTAAGACAAAAGGAATTAGAATAATTACTGATTTCTGTTGAGAATAAGCGTAGGAAATAGTGGTCTACCTAGGGCAGCATGAATAATCTTCTCTTTATATAACTCATTTATCTTGATTGCTGAGAGGATTAAATGACAAAGATGATCTATAACTAATGATGCTATTTGCTTGTAGGCCTCTATTCCTTAAATCTCATTCCTTTGCCGTTGCCAGCCTTCCTGCACTTTGATTTTCCTGCTTATATTTTGTGCCTCTCAAATTCACCACTCCTAATCTAAAATCCCTCTTAAAAAATAATACTAGCTAACACACACACACACAGACACACACACACACACACACACACACACACAATTATTTATTGAGTACCCACTAAGTGTCAGACACTGTTCTGGGCACAATTAATATTTCCCCCTTTCTACAATGGGAAAGCAAATAAGCTGGCAGAAGAGGACAGAAAGCATGGGATTGCCAGCTTATTAGGGCCATCAAGGAGGGCTGCACAGAAGGTGCCATTTAGGCAAAGACTTGGAAATGAGTGAGTCACCTGTTTTCTGCATGCCTTGTCTTATTCTGTGTACTTCAAAGGGACTAACTCATGTAAACAACACCACAGCCCCAGAGATAAGCACTGTATTAACATCCTCATTTTATATATATATATATTTATACACACACACACACACATATAAATAAAAATATATAAATATATAAATATAAATAAATAAATATGTATATGTATGTATGTACTTTTTTTTTTTTTTTTTTTTTTTTGAGACAGTCTTGCCCTGTGGCCCAGGCTGGAGTGCAATATTATGATCTCAGCTCACTGCAACCTCCACCTTCTGGGTTCAAATTATTCTCCTGCCTCAACCTCCTGAATAGCTGGGATTACAGGTGCCTGCCACCATGCCCAGCTATTTTTTATATTTTTAGAAGAGGTGAGGTTTCACCATGTTGGCCAGGCTGGGCTTGAACTCCTCGACCAAGGTGATCCAACCACCTTGGTCGAGATATATTTTTATAGATTTCCTTATTTTAGTGGAAAAGAAGCCAAAACTCAGATAGATTATATAACTTGCCAGTGTCGCATGTCTAGTTTGTGGTAGAACCAGGATTCAAATCTAGTGTGATTCCAGAGCTTGTATTCCTAACCACTAGACCAGGAGTCCCCAAACTTTTTACACAGGGGGCCAGTTCACTGTCCCTCAGACCATTGGAGGGCCGGACTATGCAAGGTGTGACACCCTTCACAGCCAGCGCTGCTGCCTCCACTATCCCAGACAGCGGTATACAGTGTCACAGGCCCAGCACCGCCTCCAGTGCTGTATACAGGGATGGCGGTGATCAGCCTGTGACACTGTGTATACAGCGTCCTGGACATCTGCAGCAGCGGTGGGCCTCTTCTGTGGGAAGCCCACTGCTGCATGTTTCCCCTATTATAAGACACCTCCTAAAAATAAGACAACCCTTGTCTTTTGGGGGTAAAATTAATATAAGACAGGGTCTTATAATAGGGGAAACATGGTGTGTAGTAATGTGGGGGGAGACTTTTGGACAAAGGGAGGTTATAGGGGCCATTATGTTGTTGTACATTTGGGGGAGTATGGGGGCCATTGTACTGTGTAGTAATGGTTATAGTGCTTTGCCTTTCTTCCTATTTCTGCTGTTATTTCATACTGTTTCCGGTGATGTGGGGCGCTGCAGCCACAGACCCGATGTGCGTCATATGACGCGCTTCTGGAGCCATGACACGTGCGTCCCGCGTCACCGGAAGTAGTATTGTACGTGAGTGACGCCGTGCTTTGTGGCACCGCCACATACAGTGCTCCTCTCACTGACCACCAATGAAAGAGGTGCCCCTTCCTGAAGTGCAGTGGGGGCCGGATAAATGCCTCAGGGGGCCGCATGCGGCCCATGGGCCGTAGTTTGGGGACCCCTGCACTAGACTATGAGGCTGCCACATTTTACAGTGGACTTTTTTACTTAGAAAGGCTTTTACTATAACTGCCTTTTATCAACACCCAGAGCAATTTTGCATTCTACATCTATTCTTGCACATAATGGCATTTCCCCTCTACCATATGGTTTATCACATTCCTCCCATGGCCCCAATATCTTTTTTTTTTTTTTTTTTTTTTTTGAGATGGAGGCTTGCTCTGTTGCCCAGGCTGGAGTGCACTGGCACAATCTTGGCTCACTGCAACCTCCACTTCCCTGGTTCAAATGATTCTCCTGCCATGGCCCCAATATTAAATTTGTATTTTTTCCCATCTTAACTTCACCTTGACTCAGGACACTGATTTATCTTCATCAGGTTAGTCAAAGGGGCTGTGTGTCTTATTCATGTGCAAATTAGAATTCCTTCAACAGATGAAGACATAACTATTTTGTTCCTTATGGTTTCTAAACATCTCTTAGAATCTGTGTAAGATGCTACAATGGTCCAAGATGACTCTGGCTACTGTTAAGAATATCTTTATCAGGCTAAATGGTTATTTGTAGCCCTGGTACATTACCCTCTGGAAAAAAAAAAGGCTTGATTTAAGGATTTTATTTATGGAAAATGGAAAGAAAACATGCTATCAGATGTTGTTAATTTACTCTGGTCTGCTAAAATCTGTAAAAATTCTAGCAATTCACAGTTTTTGTTATAAATAAGTTACTTTTGGTTCCTAAATTATAATAATAGTTAACTGAAGCTATTTTTTAGGTCTCGTCCAAATCTACATACCATGTCAGTTTCCTGAGAGCTAGGACTATTTTTAAAAATTAGTTTTATCTATTAATATTCTGTGGATATTTAAGAAAATATTAATGACCAACAACACTGAAAGCAGTGCAGAATTTCTTTTTTTTTTGAGACGGAGTTTCACTCTTGTTACCCAGGCTGGAGTGCAATGGCGCGATCTCGGCTCACTGCAACCTCCGCCTCCTCGGTTCAGGCAATTCTCCTGCCTCAGCCTCCTGAGTAGCTGGGATTATAGGCACGCACCACCATGCCCAGCTAATTTTTTGTATTTTTAGTAGAGACAGGGTTTCACCATGTTGACCAGGATGGTCTCGATCTCTTGACCTTGTGATCCACCCACCTCGGCCTCCCAAAGTGCTGGGATTACAGGCTTGAGCCACCACGCCCGGCCCAGAATTTCTTAACAACAACAACAACAACAACAACAAAAATTCTAGAACTATCTTATGGTCAACCATTTGTAGAAGGAAATGAAGATAACCTGTTTTCTGGAGGATACTGTGAATTCTGTTATTTATATTGACATAGTTTAAATGAAGAACAAAATAACATCTAAGAAGTTTGAATTCAGTTTCTTCACTGGCAGTATATGTACGTAAAAATAAAAGGAATAAATTTTGAGCCACTGACTCTCAAGGATTAAGGCAACAGTTTTATTTTTTACATTTTATTTTAAAGACCAAGATGTGAAAAAAAAAAGTAAGTGATAGAAGGTTATGGATTTTTAATTTTGCATAGCTAGGGCATAAGAACTATCTATCATTTATGGCTGGGTGCAGTGGTTCATGCCTGTAATCCCAGCTCTTTGGGAGGCTGAGTCAGGTGGATTGCTTTGAGCTCAGAAGTTTGAGATCAGGCTGGGTGAGACCCAGTCTCTACAAAAACTACAAAAAATTAGCCATGCACTGGTGGCTCGAACCTGTAGTCCCAGCTACACAGGAGGCTGAGACTGGAAAATTGTGTGAGCCTGGGAAACAGAGGCTGCACAGTGAGTCGAGACTGCACCACTGCACTAAAGCCTGGGCAACAGTGTGAGACCCTGTCTCAAAAACAACAACAAAAGTAAATAAATAAAAGAAATATCTATTACTTGCTAATAATTTATTATTATTATTATTATTATTATTATTATTTTTGGAGACAGAGTTTCACTTTTGTTGCCCAGCGTGGAGTGCAATGGCTAATCTTGGCTCACCACAACCTCTGCCTCCTGGATTCAAGCGATTCTCCTGCCTCACCCTCCTGAGTAGCTGGGAGTATAGGCATGCGCCACCACATCCAGCTAATTTTTTGTATTTTTAGGAGACAGGGTTTCTCCATGTTGATCAGGCTGGTCTCAAACTCCCAGCCTCAGGTCATCCATCTGCCTCAGCCTCCCAAAGTACTGGGACTACAGGCGTGAAATATGACTGAAAATTTTAATCACGTTATCCCCCTTTACTCCCACAAAGGCTGCAGACACCTGATTCAAGTATTGCCTTGTTTTCACTTTTTGTTATTGTTGAGATAGGGTCTTGCTATGTTGACCAGGCTAGTCTTAAACTCCTGGCCTCATGTGATCCTTGGCTTCCCAAAAGTGTTGGAATTAGAGGGGTGAGCCACTGTGCTCAGCCTTTTTCTTATCTTGTTGTAGGCAAGTGAAAACCCTGTTTTGTTGTCCACTGTTTTAAACCACATCTTGTCCAATCATTCCTTGATATGTTAATTCTCTCCATAGCATCCTTGCCTCTGACTGAATCATTTCAATGATAGAGAATTTACCACTGTCTGACGGAGGCTATTTTGACAGCAGCGACTACTAAAACCACCCACCTTCTTCTATCACCGTTTCCAAAGTGCTTTCCTCTGACCATGGTTGTAGATTAGGGAAATAGAATCATGAAAATTTTCTTTTACTTTAAGAAAAAATTAGGCATTTCTTCGGTGAAAAAAAAAATTGCGAAGTAGCTCAACCTTTTGGGACTATTTCCCCAAAGCTCTGGTCAGTGCCTTTGTGGACAAGAATTCAGTGTCTTATAAGGCTACTATGCTACTAGTGTAAATTGTAGCAGGTGCTATCTGATTCTCCATCAATTTCAAGGACATGTCAATGGCAGGCTGGGAGGGCCATGTAGATGGACATCTGTTACCAGGGCTACTAATAAAAATCCCCATATTACTGAGATCTGATGATGTAAGACCAAGGAACAAGGGATTACTTTGGGGATGTATGGGGTTGTTAAGCCAAAGTTTTCTCTAAGTACCTTAATGCCTGGTTGATAATGTAAATTAACAGGCCTATTTGCACTATTCACTTTCTATAATCTCTTCCCTTTGAATTAGGGTCTGAGATCTCTTCATTCTTGAGTAATGATCAATATTCCACTCAAATGTTCCATCCTTCAATGGAAGACATTTCAAAAATTATAGTGCTTAATGCAGTTATGAAGAGATATATATTCTGACCTTGAAGGAAAGCTCATCTTCATTTTCCCCTCGGAAATCATATAAGGCTTTGGCCTTCCTCCCCTTCGGTATGACGGCCGATGTACTTTTTGCCTCAGCTGTGAAGACATCAAAAATTCAAATACACAGAAACACAGTGGACTAAAACATAAATCTAAAGTTTTTTTAAAAAAAACCCCTTGTCACTCTAAAAAGAGAATATTTTCTCTTCAGAGGTAGCAATGTTAGGCAAAGAAAAACTTTTTATTTTTTATTTTATTTTGAGATGGAGTCTCGCTCTGTAGCCCAGAATGGAGTGCAGTGGCATGATCTCGACTCACTGCAAATCTCTGCCTCCCAGGTCCCAGTTAAAGCAATTCTGCTGCCTCAGCTTCCTGAGCAGCTGGGATTACAGGCATGCACCACCATGTCCAGCTAATTTTTGTGTTTTTAGTAGAGACAGGGTTTCACCATGTTGCCAGGCTGGTCTTGAACTCCTGACCTCGTGATCCACCCACCTCAGCCTCCCAAAGTGCTGGGATTACAGGCATGAGCCACTGTGCCCGACCAAGAAAAGCTTTTTAAAAAGCAGAATATTTTCAATTAATTTTGAACTTACGTAACTTTCAAAAAGATGTACAATGTCCTCTTAGCAGGGAAAAATTACGTAAACCATATGTGCCGGGCGTGGTGGCTCAAGCCTGTAATCCCAGCACTTTGGGAGGCCGAGGTGGGTGGATCACGAGGTCAAGAGATCGAGACCATCCTGGTCAACATGGTGAAACCCCGTCTCTACTAAAAATACAAAAAATTAGCTGGGCATGGTGGCGCATGCCTGTAATCCCAGCTACTCAGGAGGCTGAGGCAGGAGAATTGCCTGAACCCAGGAGGCGGAGGTTGCGGTGAGCCGAGATCGCGCCATTGCACTCCAGCCTGGGTAACAAGAGTGAAACTCCGTCTCAAAAAACAAAACAAAACAAAACCAAAAAAAACCCCATATGTATTAGATGCAATTAGCCATTATTTAGTGAAGGTGAAGACATTTATATCTTTTTTTCTATAACTCTAACAAAGTATATAAATGAAGCTGGTGTGACTTCATGATCAACCCTTTCATATATAGACAGACAAACTTGAGTATGGCCAGAGGGAAAAGAAATGTATATAGTTTTGAGGGTCTCGGGCTCCCCGTGAGGAGTAGCAGTCATGTCTTGCAGTTGTCATACCTGGGCAGGGCCTCACAAACACTGTTGGGAAGATCCCCTCCCTGTCCTGCAGTCTGCCCCTGCACCAGTCAGAATCCACACGTTCCAGAATCTGGATCCGGTCTCCCCTCTTGAAGGATAAGTCATCACTGGTCTCTGCTGTAAAACTGTGAAGAGCTTCACACCATTCTGCAGAAAGACTGTTAACCTGTTATCAATCAGAAGTGTGGTCAGAAATGTAAGATTTTATTTAAAATCAAGTTCTATAAAGCTTAAAAAGAAGTGGGAAAAAAACCAAAAAACTAAGGCGTCCTAAGATTTCACAGCCTGAAGTCTTCTTTAAATTTTCTAATATTTTATGATGCTATCAAGTTTCAGAAAGAAACATTTCCAATAATTTTTCTTAAATTGTAATTCTAAATGACAAGCATGATAGAATTTGTGGCTTTTCTGCTTTTAAGAGATGTACAATGCTTAAGCAAACACTGTTTTTCTTTTCTTTTCTTTTTTTTGAGCCAAGTTCTTACTTAGTCACCCAGGCTGGAGTACGGTGGCAGAATCAGAGCTCACTGCAGCCTTGACTTTCTGGGTTCAGGTAATCCTCTCTCTTCAACTTCCTGAGTGGCTGGGACTACAGGTGCAGCCACCACACCTGACTATTTAATTTAATTTTATTTTTGTAGAGATGAGGTCTTACTATGTTGCCAAGGCAGGTCTCGACCTCTTGGGCTCAAGCAATCCTCCCACCCTCCCAAAGTGCTGGGATTATAGGCAGGATCCACCTCACTCAGCCAAAAAAAGTTTTTCTTAATATGACCTATTATATTAGTTACATTAAATAGGTAAAAGCATAAAATATTTATGCATAGTATTTGACACTATGAAAAGATTCTGACAAAGTATCTAATTTTCACTGAAGTTCTTCTTTATTTAAATTAGGAAGGATCAGAATGGGTAGTCTATTAATTTCCAGGTCTCTACTTGATTCATAGACTACTAGATTCCATAGCATAGGACTTCAGTAATTCACTTTTTTTTTTTTTGAGACAGAGTCTCACTCTGTCACCAGACTGCAGTGCAATGGCATGATCTCAGTTCACTGCAACCTCCACCTCCCAGGTTCAAGCGATTCTCTTGCCTCAGCCTCCAGAGTATCTGGGATTACAGGCATGTGCCAACACACCTGGCTAATTTTTGTATTTTTAGTCGATACGGGTTTTCACCATATTGGCCAGGCTGGTCCCAAACTCCTGACCTAAGTGATCTGCCCACCTCAGCCTCTCAAAGTGCTGGGATTAGAGGCATGAGCCACCATGCCCAGCCTCACACAGTTAATTTTATGGGGTGTAGTTAATTCTGAGATTGGCAGGATAATACCCAGATGTGGTGGGCTAGTGTAAGAATGCTTTTATCCCAGGCACATTAGAAGAAGGTTTTGCTCTGTGAAGAAGCAGCTCTGCCAAGTTGGGATTGGAACCCTATGTTCAAGAGGCTCAAGCAGGCAGTAGAGGATAATGAAAAGGACAAAGACTTTTTTTTTTTCCCCTGAGATGGAGTCTTGCTCTGTCGCCCAGGATTAAGGGCAATGGTGCAATTTTGGCTCAATGCAACCTCTACCTCTCAGGTTTGAGTGATTCTCCTGCCTCAGCCTCCTGATTAGCTGGGACTACAGGTGTGCACCACCACTCCCAGCTAATTTTTGTATTTTTAGTAGATAGGCTTTCACCATGTAGGCCAGGCTGGTCTTGAACTCCTGGCCTGAAGCAATCTACCTGCCTCAGCCTTCCAAGGTACTGGGATTACAGGCGCGAGCCACTGTGCCTGGGCAGGACAAAGGCTTTGGAGCTAGACAGGCAAAGGTTCCAGACCCAGTTCTGCCACTCCTTAGCTATGTGACACTGGGCAAGACCCTTTTCTTCTCTGAGGCTCAGCTTTATCTTAGGGTTACTAAGAGGATTAAATGAGACAATGCATGTGTAACATTTAGCCCAATGCCTGGTGTATCTTAAGTTCTCCATAACTGAGGGCTTACAAAACAAAAAACAAAAAGCAAGCAAACAACACTAACCTTGCCTTCTTGTTCCTGCACTTGAGTAACTATTCCTAAAGGATGGAACTTATAATTCCCCCCAAATGCAGGCAACAACCATGTGAACATTTCCTTTTGGAGAACTATAGTCAGTTTCTTTCCTGTTTCGCTTTATCAGTAGGTAGGAACGAAAGAATTAGGAACAAAAGAATTAAGAGACACACAGGCCAATTACAAGTGACATTTTCACTAACACAATGATCCCATCATGCTTAAATCTTTTAAATTTGTCACAAAAAACAACGGAAGGCCAGATGTCATAGATCATCCCTGTAATCCTAGCACCTTGGGAGGCTGAGACAGGTGAAGTGCTTGAGCCCAGGAGTTTGAGACCAGCCTGGGCAAGTGAGATCCTGTCTACAAAAAATACAAAAATTAGCTAGGAGTGGTGGTGTGTGCCTGTCATCCCAGCTACATGGGAGGCTAAGGTGGATTGCTTGAGCCTGGGAAGCAGAGGTTGCAGTGAGCTGAGACCTTGCCACTGCACTCAGCCTGGGCATCAAAGTGAGACCCTGTCTCAAAAAAACAAAGAACAAAAACCTAAAAAACAACAGAAGGCACCACATTCCTAGTACCTTTAAGCACTTCTGGAGTCATGTTATACAGTGTAAAAATTTTAACCCACTGTTTTTCTCTTTCTCATTATACAAATGAAATAAATGTTCCTAAATATTTGGAAAGTTGAGAAATGTATAAAGAAGTGGGGGTGGCCGGGCTCAGTGGCTCACATCTGTAATCCCAGCACCTTGGGAAGCCGAGACAGGTGGATTATGATGTCAAGAGATCTAGATCATCCTGGCCAACATGGTGAAACCCCATCTCTTCCAAAAATAAAAAAATCAGCTGGGCATGGTGGTACTACTGGGCATAGTCCCAGCTACTCAGGAGGCTGAGGCAGGAGAATCACTTGTACCTGGGAGGCAGAGGTTGCAGTGAGCAGAGATCACACCATTGCACTCCAGCCTGGCAACAGAGTGGGACTCAAAAAAAAAAAAGTAGAGCCGGGCGCGGTGGCTCAAGCCTGTAATCCCAGCACTTTGGGAGGCCGAGGCGGGTGGATCGCGAGGTCGAGAGATCGAGACCATCCTGGTCAACATGGTGAAACCCCGTCTCTACTAAAAATACAAAAAAATTATCTGGGCATGGTGGCGCGTGCCTGTAATCCCAGCTACTCAGGAGGCTGAGGCAGGAGAATTGCCTGAGCCCAGGAGGCGGAGGTTGCGGTGAGCAGAGATCGCGCCATTGCACTCCAGCCTGGGTAACAAGAGCGAAATTCCGTCTCAAAAAAAAAAAAAAAATGTAGAGAGAAAAAAAAACCTACCCGTGTATGTAATCTTACTACTTACACGCAATTTAATTCTAATAACTTGAATAATTTTCTTCCAGTCTTTTTATACTATATATTTGATTTTATATCCCCTTTCCCTGTAACATGTTTCCTCTTAAGACATTTTAAATTATTATTTTATTTAGGCTGGGCATGGTGGCTCACACCTGTAATCCTAGCACTTTGGGAGGCCGATGCAGGCAGATCACAAGGTCAGGAGTTTGAGACCATCCTGGCTAACATGGTGAAACCCCGTCTCTGTTAAAAAAAAAAAAATTAGCTGGGCATGGTGGCACATGCCTGTAGCTACTTGGGAGGCTGAGGCAGGAGAATTGCTTGAATTTGAGGCAGGAGAATCCCAGTGAGCCAAGATCACACCACTGCACTCCAGCCTGGGTGACAGAGTGAGACTTCATCTCAAAAAAAAAAAAAAATTATTTTATTTTATAAATCTAATTTCATAGCTTCAGAACATTCTCCCAGTAATGGTCATATTTAGGTTGTTTCCAATTTTTTCCTTGGATACTAGCACTATGCCCATCTCTGTGACTCAAACCCTATCTCATTTTTTATCCTTTTCTTAAGGTGATAAATAATAATGTGTACTTTCTCTCTCTTTTTAACACTCACATGCTTACAATTGCTTGTGTAGTGTTGAGCTGCACTGAATCTTTAACCTATTCAGGTTAAATGGTATTTTATTGCTGCTTTATTATATATTTTCTTGATTACTAGAAAGGTTAAATATTTTTTCAGTATTAGCCACTCATTTTATCTCTTTAATGAATTCTCCAATCATGTCTCTTTTTTCATTTTCTTTTTTTTTTTTTTTTGAGATGGAGTCTTGTTCTGTCACCCAGGCTGGAATGTGGTGATTAGATCTTAGCTCACTACAACCTCCACCACCTGGGTTCAAGTTGTTCTCCTGACTCAGCCTCCCAAGGAGCTGGAACTACAGGTGTGCGCCACCACACTTGGCTAATTTTTGTATTTTTAGTAGAGATCGGGTTTCACCAAGTTGGCCAGGCTGGTCTTGAACCGACCTCAGGTGATCCAGCCGCCTTGGTCTCTCAAAGTGTGGGGACTACAGGTGTGAACCACTGTGCCCAGCCTTTATTTTCATTTTCTATCAGGGTTTGTATGTCTTTGTATGAGCTCTCTCTATAAAATATGTTAACCATCTATTTATTACAAATATTAGTTATATGAATTGAAACATTAATTCATACTATATTCTCTTGATAATTATTATTTTAATATTCCTCCTAGAGTTTGGACCTGGCTGTCTCTATAGTGATCTGTTCAAGCAGCCTACCTGAGAGTTTGTGCCAGAATCTTCTTTTTTGGTTTTTGGTGGTACCTTTGTGCCTACATTAAAAACACACACACACACAAGAAGTCAGAACATCAGATGTGAAGGCCATACAGTATTAGAAACAAATGGCTGGGGTAGGTGGTGGGAGTGAAGAGTCTGGGATTCCACACCAGTCTCTTCATATATTGCCTATGTTGCCTTAACCTGTACTACCCTCACTGAGCTTGTTTAGTTAATTGTAAACACAATTACTGTCTTTATACATTAGTAATAATCTATAGTTCATTTCTGTTTAAAACTCTTTGCTATTCATTTATTTATTTATTTATTAGAAACAGTCTGGTTTGTTGCCCAGGCTGGAATGCAGTGGTACAATCATAGCTCACTGCAGCCTCGCCTGGTCTCAGGCAATCTGCCCACTGTGGCCTCTCAAAGTGCTGGGATTACAGATCTGAGCCACCGCACCCAGCCCCTTTGCCATTTCTTTTATGAAGCTATTGCCAGTTAGCTAAAATGCTGAAACCAGCTCTTTGAGAGATGCCTACAAATAATGTCAATCCCACACAAATTCCCATTTTAAATCAGTTTTCCTTCTTTTTTTTTTTTGCATTTTAGGTTTTGGGGTACATGTGAAGAACATGCAAGACTGTTGCATAGGTACATACATGGCAGTGTGATTTGCTGCCTTCCTCCCCTTCACCTGTATCTGGCAATCAGTTTTCCTTCTATGCTAAAAATATGGCAATATGGATTATTATACAGCTTAAATATAATGCTATTATTTTATTTGTTTGAATTAGGACATGACATAATAAAAAAAATACTCTATACTCACTTAAAACATTTGCACCAGAGGTGGGATAATCCTCAACAGGCTCCACAAAGTTCAGGGGGAAAATCCCAGTTCTGCCTCGAACTTCTCCTCTCGCCCATTCCTCATTCACATACTCTTTAAGAATAATAATTTCTCCTTCTGAGAAACTCAACTCATCCTTCTGCTCTCCAATATATTCAAACCGAGCAACACATCTTAAGCCTCTGAACAAAGAATACATTTTGTGGGTTAGACTACACAGTGCTTTTAAATGCTTAAAAACTTTCCCCCAGTCTTTCAATAAATATTTATTCTGTGTTTACTATGGAATAAGGTATACTATACTAATTTGAAAATATTCCATGAAAAAGATTAAGTTACACTTTCAAATAACAGATATGAACCTATTCACTCAGAAAGCCTTAAAGCTGAAGGTCTGAGAGTGCACACAGCTGGGTTGGTTGGTTTACCCTGCTGTTTCTTTTGATCATCTTACTCCCCAGGCTTCCTATCTTTGTATCCTTGGGCCATAGCAATCCATGGTCCAGTATGAACCCTTTCAATCATAAATGCACTGAGTTGAGGAGTGCTAACCCTGAGAATCTCAGGGCAATTCATCAAATTTCCTGACTGTGAATCAGGGCAGATGCAATGGGCATCAGCTGGGCAGAGTAGATGCTCAATAGATGCTGTATCAATTAGTGAGTTGGCCTTAAATACTAGGAGAAGGTAAATAAAAAAAAAACAAAAAACCCAGAAACTCAGCGTATCATGACACACAGTCTTGGACCCAACTCTGTTGCCTTTAAAAAATGATTTTTGTATCTCCTTTAAAAGGGCTTCATTTCTGACTCTTGGAACAATCCTTACATGATCTGAAATTTTGGCTGAAAATAAGATAAAAGCAGAGATAAAATTGTGTCTCTAGAAGGTATGCTTTAATACTAAACCCTAGATTTGAGGGTTTACAAAGGAAGTTTCAATAGCAACAGGCTAAGGAGAAGCATTGCCTAAAGAGAAAAGGTTGATTCTAGCTCCAACAGAATTCTGATTTAAGTCAGATCAATGGGTCAATGACTGTAAAAGCCCACTTCGAATTCAACCTGCTGAGACACAGTATATGCTGCTTAAAAATAGAGAAAAACTGAACCTGAAATAGAATTCAACTACTGTGGATCACAGGTTTTCTTATTTGTGATAACCTTTGCATTTGTTTTCTAAAGTCCTCTGGGAGCATCTCCTTATGTCTGACCTATTCATAGACAGGTTTACAGTCTTCAGCAGGTAATGAGTTTTATTAATTTGCTCATTTAACTAGAATATAAAGTTGCATTGTGGCAGTGTTTTAAATCACAAAGGAGTTACAATGATGTTTAAAAGGGTATATAAATTCAGGGAAAGGTCCTCAGAGATAAAGGAAAATTCCTTCAACTTAACTCTTCCTTTACTTCTAATTCCTCTTAAAAACAAAAAAAATACAAAATGTCTAGCAGTTTTTATAAGATTCATATTCCTATAGGATTTAATTATTTCCCATAACAAAATTACTTGAACCTTCTAAAAACTTGGTAGATAAACACCAGAAGGCCAAAATAAAATGCAGTAAATGATGAAACTATCTCTGCTCAGCCTAAGGCTAGGCTGCAGGAAGCATTGGCATAGACTGCTTTGCTGCTTTCTCCATGTCCTGCATTGATGTGGACAGTTGCTTAGGTAAGCTTCTATCAGCATGTTCATGATGCATTTTCATCAGAATTTTAACCCATTGTCACCTTTTAAACAAGTTTTCTTTGTAATGAAAAAGACACTGAGAATCTGAATAATCACCCATGTGAAGTGTTTTCTTTTTAAATAATAAATAAATAAATAAATAATAGAGATGGGTTCTTGCTTTGTGGCTAGCCTTGAATTCCTGGCCTCAAGCAATCCTCCCATCTCAGCCTCCCAAAGTACTGGGATACAGGTGTTAGCCACCACGCCCGGCCTTAGAGTGTTTCAAGCTTGATAATTCTTCAAGATACAGATGGTTATCTTCTTTGTATTTTGTGCAAAAGAACATAAATAAAACTTACTTAACACAATGAGATGAAACAAATTCTCTTTTCCCATTTCCTCCTTCTGGAATATCAATCTAGTAAAGACAAAATCAAGGCAATAATTATGTTTTTTTCAGATTTTCATAAGATTAATGTAAGTAATTAGAAAGTAAATGACTGAAATCAATGAGTTTAGCTAGGTGTTAATCTAATTAAGAGGAACCACAGGTGCTAAATGGTAAAAAAAAAAAAAAAATCCTGAATTTGGACTTAAAAAAAAAAAAAGGATGACTTGTGAAGTAGCCTTCCTTGAGTACCCAATTATCTTATTTGCTGAAATAAGCACATTAATATCACTCTAATTCTGACTGAATTTTCTCTATCCCATTTTTTTTTTTTTTTGAGACAGGGTCTTACTCTGTCTCCCAGGCTGGAGTGCAGTGGCACAATCGGAACTCACTGTAGCCTTGATCTCCCAGGCTCAAGTGATCCTCCTGCTTTAGCCCCCCAAGTAGCTGGGACTACAGGTGTATACCACCATGACCAGCTAATTTTTGTATTTTTAGTAGAGATAGGATTTCACCATATTGCCCGGGCTGGTATTGAACTCTTGGACTCAAACAATCTGCCTGTCTTGGCCTCCCAAAGTGCTGGGATTATAGATGTTAGCTGCCATGCCCAGCCAGGTCTATCCCATATTCTCCAGGTTGAAAACTAGAGCTAAGAAGGACTTAAGATAGAAATCAGGCATCAGGCATTCACAGTGCCACACATTAGCTCTACCATAGCTACTCCAAGGGTTGGCAGAATCCTGAAATACTTCTCTGACCCCAAGATAAAACATTTCAATAAAACTTGTGGATTCTTGGGCCAGGTGCGGTGGCTCATGCCTGTAATCCCAGCACTTTGGGAGGCCAAGGCGGGTAGATCACCTGAGGTCAGGAGTTTGGGATCAGCCTGGACAACATGGTGAAACCCTGCCTCTACTAAAAATACAAAAATTAGCTGGGTGTGGTGGCTGGCACCTGTAATCTCAGCTACTTAAGAGGCTAAGGCAGAACTGCTGGAACCTGTGGGGTGGAGGTTGCAGTGAGTCAAGATTGTGTCACTGCACTCCAGCCAGGGCAACAACAGTGAGACTCCACCTCAAAAAAACAAAACCAAAAAACCGTGTGGATTCTCTTCACATTTATAATTGGAACATTTTCCTCCTTCAGCAATAAATAGGGAAGTAAGAAAGGAGTATGTATTTAGCAAACATCTACTAAGTGGCAAGCACTTTATTTTATTTATTTATTTTTTGAGACAGGGCCTTACTCTGTTGCCCAGACTGGAGTGCAGTGGCACGATCATGGCTCACTGCAGCCTTGCCCTCCCATACTTATGCCATCCTCTCACTTCAGCCTCCCGAGGTGGCTGGGACTACAGACTTGTGACACCATGCCCAGATCATTTTTCAATTTTTTGTGGGGACAGGGTCTCAAAATGCTGTCCAGGCTGGTCTTGAATTCCTGAGCTCAAGTGATCCTACTGCCTCAGCCTCCTAAGTGTTGGGATTACAGGCATGAGTCACTGTGCCCAGCCAAGCACTTAATAGAATATTTCATTTACAAGGCTCAGTAGAGGAGGGCTGGGTTGCAATAAAATATTTGGCCATAATGCATGCAATCTAAAACGACTTAAAGCATTGAAGTTTACATTAAATAAATCAGTGGTCTTCTTGATGAATTTTAAGGGTTTGAAGTTCTAAAACAATTTTTTAAACTTGTGGGCTAAGAAATAACACTTATACCAATAATGTGGCAGATTCTGTGTGACTGATTTCAGTGTGGTAATTGTGCTTTTTAAAGTACTGCTACATTGGGCAGAAGAAAAATGAGGAAGAGTGCTAAAAAAAACATTATTCTTAATATTAATTTAGAGAATATGGTTGAATTTCTCCAAAGAATCAGGGCATAGATATACTGGACAATTTTTAAGGCCTACCCTTCATAATCCAAGAGACTCAAACTCTTTTCTATTTGAAAAATACAGATTTTCTGTTAGTCTTGCTTTCTAAGGTAATAGATTTTTTTTTTACTTTTTTCCTTCCAAACAAGCTGTTAATGCTGTTAAGCTAGGTTTATTGCTATTTCACAGTATCAATAAGTTATATGAGGGACCGACTCATTCTCTTCCAATTGATACAAATATGTGAGGGCAGTCTGATTTTATTCCCATGTTTCACAGCCATCTGAGCTTACACACAGCTCCCTCACACAGAAATGTTTTCACAAGTTAGACCGTGAGGGCATATAAAATTCTAGTGCTTTGATATAATTTTTCTAATCAGATTAGAAATTATTTTGTGGGTACAACCATTAACGAACCCCTATCTCCAATACAAATACTTCTGTATTCCCAAATTGATTTTTTTTTAAAAGATGGAGATAGATAAGAATGGAAAAGAAGAAAGAAACCCAAACCAAAAGGTACTCCAAAGAAAAGAAGTGGTACCATAACCTAGGAGAACATCTCTACAGGATAATCTAATATCATTCAATTCATGTTTACTAAATGTCTCAAAGAATTACTATATATCCTTAAGTGCTTAACAACCCTCCAAGAACAGCTGATTCACCAGCTGACTTGTGGTGGTCTTTCACTTTAATATTTCAGGCAGCATTTAGGCATTAATTTCTAACACCCCATAGCAGAATAATTAACCATCACCTACTTGATCAAATCTTTATTTCTGAATTTTCCAAATGCCAAATGAATCCATGAAAGCAAGAGAACTCAAATCTGGGTTTCTAGTTATTTTTTCCAACCTATAAGTCACATAGACTTATACCACCAAGTATATGACCAAATTAAAACAAGAATGACCCACTTACAATCACTTTGACATAGTTGGCAGGAAATATGCCAGTCTGGTTTCTGCAGTTCCCTCTGTACCAGTCTGTATCTATCTTCTCCAGAAGATAAACAATTTCTCCAGAAGTGAGGTTTAAATCATCAACTTGCTCTGTAATATAAAATTGTAGTTATGTATGATGAATTATCCTGGTTTGATTTGATTAAAGCACAAAGTAGCATTTAGTTGTGTCCACTGAGGCAGTAATGTTCCATTGATTCTGAGAACAGATCATACTAATCAAATTGACTAAAAAATGCTCTTCTTATTTTGGATATTGTTATGAGCTCCCTTTTTGAAGACCAAATTAGACATAGTTACCATGCTTTGATTGATGGGAAATGACTGGAAAAGATACTATTGTGTTAACAAATGTTTCCTACTGTGCCAATATAAACCCTTGCTGAATACACACTGAACAATGAAACAAGTTTATAGACGTGGTATAATTTTATTATTCTCAATCATGCTTAAAAATCATTTTAAATTCAAATATTAACTAAGGGAGTACTATAACTCTTTAGTGAATAAGTTTACCTTTGCTAAAATAAAAATCAGCCTATGGAGTGGATAAAAAGAGATTGTAAGTAAATCAGGAGTTTATTTGTAGCCTTGGATATGAAGGATATTTTAAAATTATTATAAAAGTATTTATATTTTAGCTGAGCATGGGTGGCTCATGCCTGTAATCTCAGCACTTTGAGAAGCTAAGGTGGGAGGATCACTTGAGGCCAGGAGTTCAAGACCAGCCTGGGCAACATAGCAAGACCTTGTCCTTGCAAAAAAAAATTAGCCAGGTATAGTGGCACCCCTGTAGTACTAACTACTGGGGAAGCTGAGGGAGGAGGATCACTTGAATCCAGGAGTTTAAAGTTACAGTGATTGCACTACTGCACTCCAGCCTGGGCGACAGAGCAAGACCTTGTATCAAACAACAAAAAAAAATTATTTTGATCTCATAGGTAAGTAGCAGCTGAGATAACTCTAAGGACAAAAGAACTTCAATTATTAAGTTAGAATTAACTTTATTACATTGCCTTTTTTTTTTTTTTTTTTTGAGAGATGGTTTTGCTCTTGTTGCCCAGACTGCAATTATATAATCTCAGCTCACTGAAACCCTCCCAGGTTCTCCTGACTCAGCCTCCCAAGTAGCTGGGATTACAGGCATGCATCACCACTTCTGGCTAATTTTTTGTATTCAGTAGAGATGGGGTTTCACCATGTTGGTCAGAATGGTCTGGATGCCTGACCTCAGGTGATCTACCCACCTCGGCTTCCCAAAGTGGTGGAATTATTGGTGTGAGCCGCCGTGCCCATCTGTATTACAATTGTTAATTAGTACCCACTATTTTGAAAGAGTTAAAGTTTGAGACTGGTAGGCAATTTGCAATGTTCATTTGTAAGGGAAAGTCTCTCTCTCTCTTTCTCTTTCTCAGGGAGCTTCAAAGGCAAGGGTATACATATACAACTAAGCTTTCTGGAATGGCTGGGTGCAGTCAACTTCTTGAAGTGGAGTCCTGGATAAGACGACCTCTCCAGTCTAGGACTCTACAGGCACAGAAAATGAAGAAGGATGTCCTTGACAGGCAACTCCAGGGCAGGGAGGAAGCCTTACTCCTGGATTCTATGGTTCTCCCACTGTATTATTTATGTCCTTACCTGCTGGGAAATCATGAAGAACGACAGCATGAGGAGCACCACTGTCAACAGGCTTCTGAGCATGGCTTGGATCCTTAGGGGGAAAAACAGGGCTGTGAATGAAGTGTGCAGGATAGATGGTGGATTTATTATTCACTCTGAAACCAATTTTTTTTTCTCATTAGAGTCCTTTTGACACAACTACATTATGAGTACAAGATGCAAACCACACAGTTGAGCCAAACAACGGAATCATCATCAAATTGAAGAAGAATGTGTCCTTGCCAAGGGAGGATGAAAATAATTCTCAATTAAAATATCCCCCGGTATGTTTTGTTTTTGTTTTTTTAAACTGAGAGAGTACAACAAAAGAGAACTGTTTATTTTTAAACAGTACCTATTCTACCCTGAAGTAGTGGTTTTTGACCTCTTTCCCTTTCAAGGATAGCTTTTTTCTTAAAACTATGATCAAGACTAAACCTTAAGAACAGGGTCCTAAAAGCTGTCTTTATTAGGATGGGAAAAGAAGAAAGTTCTATGATTTATGCTCTTGCCTTTTGGGAGCTAATGACTTTCCACAAAAGTATAATTCACAAAAGTAAAATCCATTTCATTTATTACTACTTAACTAAGTGCTTTTTCTAATTTGAAAGCAACGCCACCTCCCATGCCTGGTCTGCATTTTGTATTTAATCTGAATGGTTTATTCAACAGTAGTTCTAAATAAATTAGCAAAAAGAATCTAACATTCTCTATCCATCTAGCCAATTGCCTATATTGGCCAGAGGAGAAGGCAAAGCTGAAAAGTAACCTCTTCTTATTGACTAGCAATTGTTACTCTTAGTTTCTTTGTATGAAGAGACAGGCTTATCCACATCATCATCAAATCATACTGAAGGATATTATCTGGAGTTATAACTTAACACTCTTCAATACTGGCAAACTTGTGAAATAAGTAAAGGCAGATTTTTATGCCCTTTCTTGTGTCTTCACCTCCTCTAATAACTCTTGTCCTCTTAGGGACATCTATACCTCTGCCCTTCCCCTGGCCACGATGCACCAGCCTGATCAGAGTGCACTCTGAATGATGGTCCACTTTCTCCATTTCAACCCTAAGCACCTTTGCGGAGATCTTTTCTAAATGTGACCTCTTCTTTCAACCAAAATGCCCCTGCAGAAACAAAACTTTCATTCTCTCAAGTTAGCTAAACTGAAATATAACTTAAGACACCACTGGCTAATATTGCTTACTATATTAGCTTACCAAGATAACCTTAACATTTTTCTCAGGTACTGCTTAATGCTTTTCTCTAAATAAATGAGCAACATGGAAATTTCATGAATTCTGAGATATTTTAGGTCTGATGTGGCTTTTTTTTGGACACAGGGTCTTGCTCAGTTGCCTAGGCTGCAGTGTAGTGGTACAATCACGGCTCACTGCAGCCTTGACCTCCAGGGCTTAAGTTATCCTCCCACTTCAGTCACCAAGTAGCTGGGACTACAGATGTGCACTACCATACCTGGCTAATTTTTGTATTTTTTGTAGAGAAGGGGTCTCGCTGTGTTGCCCAAACTGGTCTCAAACTCCTGGGCTCAAGTGATCCACCTGTCTTGGCCTCCCAAAGTGCTGGGATTATAGGTGTGAGCCACCGTGCCTGGCCTGGAGAGGCTTTTAATAATCATTCAGCATGCGTAACATAGTGAGATGCCATATCTACAAAAATAAAAAATCAGCGGGGCATGGTGATATACCTCATATTATTAGTGATGCAGAGGTGTGAGGATCTCTTGAGCCCAGGAACTCAATGCTGCAGTGAGCTATGACTTTGCCACTACACTCTGATTTGGATGACCGAGTGAGACTCTCTCTATAAAAAAAAACTTAAAAAAATTAATGATTATTTACATGTTGTATTATACATGTGCATGTGTGATTTTTGTTTTTTTTTTCTGATTTACATCTGTGGAGAAAAAGAAATGACTATTCAATAAATGGTATCAAGCTAGATGGCTATCCATTTGGAAAAAATGATGTCAAAGACCTACCACAAACCAAACACAAACATGAATCTCCAAAGGGACCAGAGACCTAAACGTAAACCAAGCCTGGGAGGGAGGGGATAATAATTTGTGTCTACCGACCACACACTTTCCCTTCTCTGCCTTCAATGTATGGATATCACTGGCAATGCTACTCATCAACCTGGTCCAGCAGGTGGAGGGCAAGAGGAACAGCCTAGACAGGGATATCAACAAGGAGTCCATACAGACCACACCACTGGGGTAGGTGTCTGGTAGGTAAATATAATATAATGCAAAGGTCTTTCTAATATGACTATAACTGCTAATACAAATGGTTTTGTAATATTAAGAATAGCTAATATTGCTGGGTGTGGTGGCTCAAGCCTGTAATCCCAGCACTTTGGGAGGCCGAGGCGGGTGGATCACGAGGTCAAGAGATCGAGACCATCCTGGTCAACATGGTGAAAGCCCGTCTCTACTAAAAATACAAAAAATTAGCTGTACATGGTGGCGCATGCCTGTAATCCCAGCTACTCAGGAGGCTGAGGCAGGAGAATTGCCTGAACCAAGGAGGTGGAGGTTGCGGTGAGCTGAGACCACGCCACTGCACTCCAGCCAGGGTAACAAGAGCGAAACTCCGTCTCAAAAAAAAAAAAGGATAGCTAATATTTATTGTTAATTCACTATGTGCTACTCACTGTGTTAAATTACCTTATGTGCATTAGTTCATTTGTTAACCATCTTTGAGATATAATTCACATACAATAAAATTCACCCACTGAAAGTGAACATAGCTTTAGTATATTCATAGAATTATACAACCATTACCATAACCCAAGTTCAGAACATTTTTATCACTCCCCAAAGAAACCTCCTACCAATTAGGTGTCACTCCCCATTTATCCTCCCCTGAGCCCTAGGCAACCCGTAGTCTACTTTCTGTCCCTATGGACTTCTATTCTGGACCTTTACACAAATAAAATCATATAATCTGTCAACTCTGAAGACAACTCTGTGGGCAGTTATCTCACACATTAAAAAATAAAGTTTAGAGAAGTTAACCACCAAAGAAGGTGAAATGGGAACTGAATCCAACTTCCCTAAACCCAGGTCTGGGGTCTCAACCAGGTACCAGGCAACAATCTTCCACTTTTCCCATGATCCGTCTGATTCAACCACAACAGGTCACGTTCATGCAATATTTCTGTTTTCCAAGTTAGAGGAAAGTACAACACATTTGTAGAGATATTTTCCTTAAAACTAGGCTTTCAAATAGGTAAGTTTTGTTTTTTAAAAAATACAGTAATAGCCATGAATCCAGAAGCATAAAAGAGGATTCATTTTATTATCACCAACAGCTGGCCACTGGAGGTCAACTCTCTGCAAGTCTATAGTAAAAGATGAGAAGGTGGTGTTTAAAGTGGAAAGAACTTTACACTGTTATAAAAGTAACTTTTGGCTGGGCACAGAGGCCCATACCTGTAATCCAAACACTTTGGGAGCCCCATGCGGGCAGATGGCTTGATCCTAGGAGTTTCAGACCAGTCCTGGCAACATAGCGAGACCCTGCCTCTACAAAATTTTAAAAATTAGCCAGCCATGATGGTGCATGCCTGTAGTCCCAGTTACTCAGGAGGCTGAGGTGGCAGCATTGCTTGAGCTTGGAAGGTCAAGGCTGCAGTGATCATACTACTGCACTTCAGCCTGGGCAACAGAGAGAGACCTTGTCTCAAAAAAAAAAAAAAAAAAAATTCTATTTTTTTTTAAATTTCTACTTTTCATAAAGAAAATCTTTTTGGCATTATAGTTCCCACTGTTGCCATGAGTGTGTTCTGAAAGAGGAAGGACAGCTATGACAGATGGATAATGCTATACCAAAACAGAGAAAATGAGTCAGAGGAGAACTTGCCCCATGGGAACTAAAGTAAGGATTTTGATATGCCAGCTGCAGCTAGCTTAACACATATCTACTCTGCTCTCCAAAACACAATTTTTTAGTTTCTTAGCAAACTTTAAAAGATAAACTGCTTTCTAAGAAGAAAAAAATAGAAAAGACTATGAAAACTAAACAGCAAACCAAATACTTTACTTGATTGATCAGTATTATTTTTCATATTTACTTTATTTTTTTATTTGTTTGTTTTTTTCAAGACAGAGTCTCGTTCTATGGCCCAGGCTGGAGTGCAGTGGCTCAGTCATGGCTCACTTGCAGCCTTCATCGCTTGGGGTCAAGCAAACCTCCCACCTCAGCCTCCTGAGTAGCTGAGACTACAGGCACACACCACCATGCCCGGCTAATTTTTGTACTTTTAGTAGAGACATAGTTTTGCCATGTTGCCCAGGCTGGTCAAACTCCTGGACTCAAGTGATCTGCCTGCCTTGGCGTCCCAGAGTGGTGGGATTACAGGCATAAACCACTGTGCCCAGCCTATTTTTCATATTTACTACATTAACAGATAGTGACATTATAACTGAATAACTTAAGAAGCGCTTTTAAAAATATATGCCTAAAAATTGTTCAACAGCATTTTTCTTGTTAAACTAATGACTTCCAATAATCATTGTATTTTCCCAGGTTCCATAAATTTGTTAGGCTTAAATTGGGACTAGAGGTTGCTGCATTAAATTTCATTATTTTATGAGCTATAATCAGAGAAATGAGGTTTACGTTAAGCTTAAATCTTAAAGAGAAGTGCTTTATACTGTCAGACTTCCATTCTGCTAGAAACCTATCCTCTGACATTTTGGTAAACACGATTACATTATTTAAAAAACAAACAACTCTCACAGTTGAAAATTAATGACTGAGTATTCTGGTTGTTGTAAGTCAGCACATTATGAAGAAGGCAAAACACAAGGTAGTCACTCTGTATTGAAGTGATTAGTATGGCAGTGGCAAGTCTCTTAGTAGTAATTTATTCAAAAGTGGAATAAAATGCTACTGTAATTTTTACTCTGGTTAAAATAAATGTGCTAATAAAAACCTGAAGATGGGATATAATTAATAGTTTTATGAAATGTGCTGCGATTGTGATATGAAGGCTGTAACAATATTAATTCCTTACGTTTGGTCTGCTTCTCAGATGTTCATCAAGTGGAGTGATAATCTTCATCTGAGACAGGTGAACTCTGCCAGTGTCTTCTCCCTTTTGGCACTCCACGTAATTGTTTTCCGTCTGCTTCAGCATCACAAGTACATCCCCACGCTGTAAGGTATAATACCACTCTCTGAAGCAATTATTATTTAATAAAACATTATTACTTTTTTCACATTTTAATCTTTGGAGCCTAAAGCATTTAATAATGTGTAATCATAGTAAGAGAGGCCAGTGATTTTTTCCCATTAATCAGTAAAGAAAGAGCTCTACTTTACCTTACAAGAGAGTTCTCCAGGGTTTTGCGAGACAATATCTTCATTGGCAATTCCATGAGGCACAGACAGCTTAAATGTAAACCAATAAAAGGCTTATTCACAATAAAATAATCTCTTCTTAAGTTGCTGATCATTTAGGAATTTGGCACGTGTGTGCCTAAAGTGCACTTCTCCAGCAGCTAAACTCACCTGGCTTCATCATGCTCTAGAGTCTAGATCAATGGGGCCTGCCATTTCTCATGGATGCTAGAGGCTCTTGGGAGTTGGAGTTGGGCCTATAGAACCACAAGGGCTGAACATGGCCTAACATTCCCTTAATGACCATAACCAGTAAGTTCCATTTTACAGGACAAGATCCACCAACTCCCCTGGGGGTTTGAAGGAGAAATACCCAGCACCTGACCTCACAACCCATCAAGGCAACCTTTAATTTAGGGTTCTCACAGTGGTGGCCTCTGAAGGCTGATCAGTGATTGGAGCCCTCCATGTACTGCTTGCCTGACAGTTTCCACTGACTCTGAACCTCTTCTTCTCCTAGTGTCTCTCTGATACCAAGTGTCTACTTAAATCCATTTCATGGCCTGATCCCAGCCACTTCCTGGTCCACTCAGCTCTGTCTGATCTTAGAATGGTTTTTTTTTTTTTATCTGTACTGGACCTTGTCCAGGGTATGCTGTTTCCTGTTTTGGAAAATTTTAGCTGATGAGTGCACATAAGAGGGTCTGCACTATATAAAAGGCATACCCAGGAAATGTAATCACACAAGATTACTTCCAACATGGGAAGAAGGCTTTCTGGGCCCTTGGGTCACCCAGGAGCAAAGATGCAGAGTGCAAGGATGTGGCCCTGCATGGCTGCCTTGGTGGTGCCATTTCCCAGCATCTTTGTCAGATTCTTAGGGCTCCCAATGTACCCAGATTCCTGGCTACCAATTTAATGGTACTGTAGGCATGCAATAAATGAAAAATTTAAAGAATTATTTAGTAATGAGACACACTTCTCTAAATATGCCATCATTTTGAATATACTGAGTTTTAAAAAATGCTTTATTGACATGGTACAACTATGCTAAGAACCAAATGTGAAATCTGGTTCCCTCTGAGAAAGGGCTCTTAACACAGAATGACCAAATCAAGTAGAGGCTACAGGTGGCATAATGGTTAGGAGCAAGCATCAGAGCCAGCTGACCTGTTCTCGAATATTGCTCCCACCACCATTAACTGGATTTGGGGCCTGGGCGTCTTACTTTAGTTACTTTACGTCTTGGTTTCTTATTTTCCTCACTTGTTCAAGGAGCATAATAATATCTACCTCACAAGGTTAGTGTGAGGAATAAATGAGTTATTTAACATATCCGTAAAGTGCTTCCAACAGCGCCTGGCTCATAATTAGTACTCAATATACATCAGCTACTGTTTTTATTTATTAATTAAGTAATCTATCCCAAAGAACACCCTTGGGTTTTAGCAATTAAAGTTTTATCAGTTTAAATGAATATTAATATATATGAATATACTACCTCCTTCTTATTTGTCTATGCTCTTTTCTAAGGAGGATTTTTTTTTTTTAAACCTTGAACAGCTTAAAGAAAGAAAAAATAATTTCTAGCTCAATGATGGAAATATAACACAATATAGAATTATTAATTGCTGTTCTTGTTACAAGCTACTCTGTCATTCAATTGTGAAAAAATACAAAAAGTACTGCTCTCCTTATCATTTTTATTTTTAATGTTTTTTTTTTTTTTTTTTTTAAAGAGTCTCACTTTGTCACCCAGGCTGGAGTGCAGTGGCATGATCTTGGCTCATTGAAACATCCACCTCCTGGGTTCAAGCAGCTGGCCTCCCAAAGTGCTGGGATTATAGGCGTGAGCCACTGAGCCCAGCCTCCTTTTACTTGTTTTAGATTTTTTCAGGTTCACCTGATCAAAGTAGAGAACACATCAACTCTGTTTTATTTGTTTTGTTTTGAGATGGAGTCTCATTCTGTTGCCCAGGATGGAGTGCAGTGGCACAATCTCAGCTCACTGCAACCTCTGCCTCCTGGGTTCAAGTGATTCTCCTGCCTCAGCCTCCCAAGTAGCTGGGATTACAGGCGTGTGCTAATACGCCTGGCTAATTTTTGTATTTTTAGTATAGGCGGGAGTTTTACCATGTTGACTGGGCTGGTCTCAAACTCCTGGCCTCAAGTGATCTGCCTGCCTTGGCCTCCCAAAGTGCTTGGATTACAGGTATAAGTAACTGCGCCTGGCAACTCTTTTTTTTTTTTTTTTTTTTGTTGAGACAGAGTTTCACTCTCATCGCCCAGGCTGGAGGGCAATGGTGCAATCTTGGCTCACCGCAACCTCCGCCTCCCAGGTTCAAGCGAGTCTCCTGTTTTAGCCTCCCGAGTAGCTGAGATTACAGGCATGCACTACCACATCTGGCTAACTTTTGTATTTTTAGTAGAGACAGGGTTTCTCCATGTTGGTCAGGCTGGTCTTGAATTCCCAACCTCAGGCGATCCACCCGCCTCAGCCTCCCAAAGTGCTGGGATTACAGGCTTGAGCCACCATGCCCGGCCAGCAACTCTTTTTTTTAACTGTGGGAAATGGAGACAAAGGTTTAGGTCATTTGATAAGAAAAACATTAAAAGAGAACAAAATTAATATCTCAACTATTGATAAAAACTACTAACTGGTAACTAATAAATGGACCCTGATAGTTATTAAGCTTACAAAAAAGGGAAAATGAGGAAAAAAAACCCATCCATCTTAGTAAGAACTTTCTACTTCATTTTAAAATTTACTCAATGGGAAAAGGAACTATTAGATATAGACTATATCAAGATATAAACTATAGGCCAGGAGTGGAGACATGTTCCCATAGCCCCAGCTACTCAGGAAGCTGAAGCAGGAGGATCTCAGAGCTCAGGAGGTCAAAACTACAGTACACTATGATTGCATCACTGCACTCCCGCCTGGGTGGTAGAGTGACACCCCATCTCTTAAAGAAAAGAAAACAAAACCAAAAGATATAAACTATAGTATCTGTAAGAGTTACTCCCATTAGTATAACCCACTGGGTCAGGTTTTTCAGGATTTCTTTGGTCCAGCCAGGCAGCAAGTTACAAGCCTGGCCTGCCCTGCTTTTTCTCCCCTTTCTCTACATTTCTCCTAATAATGAAACCCTGCTTTAAAGACCTAGGTGTTTTGTTCATTTGTTTTGAAACAGAGTTTTGCTCTGTTGCCCAGGCTGCAGTACAGTGGTGTGATCTTGGCTCATTGCAATCTCTGCCTCTCAGGCTCAAACAATTCTCATGCCTCAGCCTCCCGAGTAGCTGGGATTACAGGATTGTGCCACCATGCCTGGCTACTTTTTCATAATTTTAGTAGAGACACAATTTTATCATGTTGGCCAAGCTGGTCTCAAACTTTTGGCCTCAAGCTGATCCTCAACTTGAGGCCTCAGTTTCCCAAAGTGCTGGGATTATAGGCGTGAGCCACCGTGACCAGCTAAGACCTGGAATTTATTAAGGCCTACTCATCTAAAGCACTCTTGGCATCAAAACACAATTCCACATTTGTTTCATAATCTTTTTCTAAGGAATAATGAATCATATATGTACTTTAGGGCAAACCTCTTGACACATTTTTAAAAGCTGAATTTACCATGTATTTACTGTAGAGAGGGTGTCCTGGTTTGGGGCGAGGGGGTAGCACCGGATCTTGATTTTTAAAAACCTGACTTTTGGCTTTTGAGAGTCCAGTTGCCAAGTTACTTTGTTTTTTCTGAAGATCCATGTCGGAACAGGATCGATTAAAAGGCAGTTTCTTATTAGACATTCTGGTTGCAGAAAGCTTTGGGGGAGGTGGTCTCTCAGGAGGCGCCTTGGTTGGAGGTTGTTGAGTTGGAATGGCTTTTCTATTCACAGGTCTGAAAGTCAATGTAGCAGCCGTGAGTCAATGTTTTGATCAGTATTACATTCTGTTCTGTCCTGTCTTACACACACACACACACACACACACACACACACACACACACACACACACACATACATACACAGCTTTCTGCTTTTCTGCTACCGGAATACAATTTACTGAAAAATGCAGGGTATGCTATTTTTGAGCAAATGACTGCTGCATTAAACATTGTACTATTGGAGGAAATGCCATGATGTTCCAGCTTCCTCTTATCTTGCACCAGAGATTAATTAGTTCAAGAAAAACAAGCATTTACTATCATGAGCTCTCTAAGGTCCCATTTGCTCTTCTTAAACACATCATGACTATTTCAGGAAACTGAGCAGTTTCTACCAAAGTCTGAGATGAAAAGCTTATAACAAGATATGATGTATGTGTGCTGGGGTCTTGTATATAATCAGAAAAGGAACATCAAAATTCCCTAACATTCATGTCATTTGCGTTACTATTAAAATTCTAATTTAGATTAATATAAGCTAGTTCTGAAAGGATAGGACAACTATTACTTTGAAAGCCTGTCCTTAATCCCTATGATAGAAATAATTTTCGGCTGGGTGTAGTGGCTCACACCTGTAATCCCAGCACTTTGGGAGGCCAAGGCAGGCAATTACAAGGTCAAGGGATAGAGACCATCCTGGCCAACATGGTAAAACCCCATCTCTACTAAAAATACAAAAATTGGCTGGGCATGGTGGCACATGCCTGTAGTCCCAGCTACTTGGGAGGCTGAGGCAGGAGAATCGCTTGAACCCCAGAGGCGGAGGTTGCAGCGAGCCGAGATTATGCTACTGCACTCCAGCCTGGGCAACAGAGTGAGACTCCATCTCAAAAAAAAAAAAAAAAGAAAGAAAGAAAGAAATAATTTTCAACATAGTAATAATATCTTCTGATAGCATTAAAGCCCTTTGTCTGAATAGCTCTGAAACTCAGAAGGCAGTTACCTCTGAGCTCACAAAGCCAGTCTCATTTGGAAATGCTAAAAACCAGTCCTGTCTCTCTTAACCAGGAGGGTGTTTGTGTGCATGTATATGTATATTTTAGGAGTGGAGCTGTTTTAAGTTCAGAAATGAGTCTTGTTCATTTATTTGAGGAAATAAATTGCTCTATGAGTTGGACTGTGTTAAAATAAAAAGGGAGCAGAGATTCCCACAATCTACTGTTAGAAGCAGACTGTGGGCTAGGGGTCTGGGTGAATTGGTGAGATTATTTTATCTCTTAAAAAAAAGATCCAAGGCCAACGAAACTGAATCTTGGTGATAAAAAAGAGAGTTGGGTCTCTGAGTCATTAATTCTTCTCTAACTTTTCCCGCATTTACTTACCTCAGTGGCAACCTTGGTCCTCGCACAAAACCTCCTGTTTGACTTGTGTGGTTGGATTCCTGCAAGCAGCGGAGAATGCAAGTTAAGGTTAATCTGAAACAAGAGTTTGTCAGGAGAAATTCTAAACAACCTTTTGGCTGAATCTACAAGTAGAAATGTAGTTGAGTTATAGAACTTAAAAGAGTTTTCAGCCTTAAACAATATTAACTCACTTCTGCCTGAATTATTCATGTCCTAATACAAGTGAAAACACTGACAGGAAGAAACCAAGTGGTCTCCTGTTGTGGACCACAGCCTGAACAACTGCACTGCATGGTCATGCACTCAGTGGATTCATGAGATATTAAGGGAAAATTCAAGCAGGCCCTGAAGAGAATTAAAAAATATGTGTTCTTTATTCATTCCATGATCACACATAAGAAACATACTGCACCTAAGTTTAAACACATAGTAAGAGGGGTGGTTATTAGTTGGGTTTTCTTTGAATAGCAGATCTTATTACTGTTTAGTTTCAACACTTTGCAGTGGGTTTTGAACTAGAAGAAGGTGGGAACGTAAAAGAAGTTTGCGGGATGGTCTGAGAGGAAGGTGTGTGAGGAGAAAGGAAGGTCCAAGAAGGCAGTGTGCTTTTATCACTCCAGAAAAGGGGCTGGATGGACTAAAAAGAGTTTTGTAGAAAAGAGAAAAAGAGCAGGAGAATAGGCCCAGTGCGGTGGCTCATGCCTGGAATCCCAGCACTTTGGGAGGCCAAGGCTGGTGGATCATGAGGTCAGATCAAGACCATCCTGGCCAACATGGTGAAACCCTGTCTTTTTGGAAAAAAAAAAAAAAAGAGAAAAGGAGGATATGTGAAAAATGAAAGACAAGTACAGTTGGAATGTTTTACCCTAATGGTAGATATGAGAAATTGGAAGTGTGGAGATTAACAGGAAGATTTCTGTAGGGAAGGGATTAAAACTGTTACATTTAAACAGGTTTTCTGAAGATGTTTTAGCCCAAGGATTGGGAAATGAGGATAATACATGGAGAATATTTTCAGATCTTCTGTTGAGTGGGAAGTCAAAAGGATCTCAAAGCCAAAATTTCTTTTTTTCAGGAGGGGGAAAAAACCCTCATGAATTTTTTTTTTTTTTTTTTTAAGGCAGTCTTGCTCTGTTCCCCAGGCTGGAATGCAGTGATGCAATCTCAGCTTACTGCAACATCTGCCTCCCAGGTTCAAGTGATTCTCCTGCCTCAGCCTCCCGAGTGGCTGAGACTATAGGTGTGCACCACTATACCTGGCTAATTTTTCTACTTTTAGTAGAGACGGGGTCTCACCATGTTGGCCAGGATGGTCTCAAACACCCGCCTTGGCCTCCCAAAGGAGGTTTAATTAAAGCTTGGGAATCTTTGGGTTACTTCAGACTGTTTTCCTCCTTCCTATAAATGAATGAAAACTCACTTTCATGATTTTTAAATTATACTGAATATTTATAACTTTTTCCTTAAATAGCAAATGATTAATTGCCAGTAACTGTGATTTAAACAAGTTTCAATGTTATAAAATTCCATTTTAAAAAACAAATTAAGCTTGCCCTTAAAACTTGGTTTGACTAATGAGTTCAGTTAATGTAGTAAGGCAAGTAACCAGCTCATAAACCCTGAAATATTCCAGAATATAATCCATGCCTTATAAATACACTGCTGCCTATATTTTTTCCTGACAAATATCGCCACGATGCTTGAAAAAAGCATTTATTTCTTTGGCTACCTTTAAAATTAAAACAAACTCTAGCAGATAGGAAGAAACTTTAATTGTTTTCCTCAAAAACTGTAATTATTAGATACACTGATAGGAAAAAATTTTTAAAGAGATGTATAAATTTGAAATGGAAAGACAGAGATGATGTACTATAATAAATGCATAGCATGCATTACAGGCATGCACCACCCCACCCAGTTAATTATGATCCTAATTTTGTACCAGATATTGGCTATAGTTTTTCCTGGGTGATGGTATTTTTATGGGAAATCTTAAACATCTTTTTAATTTCTTAATCTGCAACAGTGAGAAAATTTTACATCAGAAAAAAATAGTACATTCAAATTCTTTAGGGATGTTAGGCACATCCTAAAATAATGGTACACTCAAATTCTTTAGGGATGCTAGCACTGCTGTATCTGACATACTCCAAATATTGAGAGAAGGAGGCAGTTCCTGCAGGAGCCATTGTCTTAGTGTTTGTTCAAATCTGGGTTCATGCCCAGGTTCTGCTAAGTCTTTGGAAGATAAGTGATTAGGTATTTCCTTCTCTTGATATTCCACACATAACCTGTAGGTTCTCTGCATTTGCTTTTTGGTAGTTTTCCTCTAGCTCTGATATCCCTGAACTCTCGCCTTTTTCAACCACACTGGAGTGCAGTGGTGTGATCTCAGCTCACTGCAACCTCTGCCTCCTGGGTTCAAGCGATTCTCCTGCCTCAGCCTCCTGAGCTGGGATTACAGGCATGTGCCACCCCACCCAGTTAATTTTTGTATTTTTAGTAGAGATGGGATTTCGCCATGTTGGCCAGGCTGGTCTCAAACTCCTGACTTTGTGATCTGCCTACCTCAGCCTCCCAAAGTGCTGGTATTACAGGCGTGAGCCACTGTACCCAGCCCTTAACTCTGGCTTTTAATGTGTTTGGACAAGCATTTTAGTTTCTGGTGAAGTTGTTTTTCTGCTTGTACTGCCTCTGCAGATTCCATCTTTTTGTTTGTCTGCACTGAAATAATATTCCAATTTAAAAATAATTCCCCAGTTTTTTGCTGTTTATTTCTTTTCTTTTCTTTCTCTCTCTCTCCTCTCTTCTCTATTCTTCTCTCTCTCTCTCTTCTTCTTTTTTTTTTTTTTCCTGAGATGGAGTCTCACTCTGTTGCCCAGGCTGGAATGCACTGGTGTGATCTCTGCTCACTGTAACCTCTGCCTCCTAAGTTCAAGTGACTCTCTCACCTCAGCCTTCAGAGTAACTGGGACTACAGGCATGTGCAACCATGCCTAGCTAATTTTTGTATTTTTAGTAGAGATGGGGTTTCACAATGTTGGCCAGGCTGTTCTGGAACTCCTGATCTCAACTGATCCACTTGACTCGGCCTCCCAAAGTGCTGGGATTATAAGCGTGAGCCACTGTGCCCAGCCTTTTGCTATATTTTTTTAAAAAATAGGTATTTCCCTGGGCACAGTGGCTCATGTCTGTAATTCCAGCACTTTGGGAGGCCAAGGTGGGTGGATCACCTGAGTTCAGGAGTTCAAGACCAACCTGACCTCAGGTGAAGTCCAGGCTGACAACATGGTGAAACCCTGTCTCTACTAAAAAATACAAAATTAACTGGGTGTGGTGGGTTCATGCCTGTAATCCCAGCTACTCTGGAGGCTGAGGCAGGAGAATCGCTTGAACCTGGGAGGTAGAGGTTGTGGTGGGCTGAAATCATGCCATTGCACTCCAGCCTGGGCAACAAGAGCAAAACTCTGTCTCAAAAAACAAACAAACAAACAAACAAACAAACAACAACAACAACAAAAACAGATATTTCTCCCAAGACCACACTCTTGTCTGCTGGAATTACTGAGTGGCCTTCACATGTTTCTTATCTTTTTCCTCCAAGAATCAAGTATTAGCACCTTTTTTTTTTTTGAGGCAGAGTCTTGCTTTGTTCCCCAGGCTGGAGTATAGTGGCACGATCTAAGCTCCACCTCTGGGTTCAAGCAGTTCTCCTGCCTCAGCCTCCAGAGTAGCTGGCTTATTCAAGCAGTTCTCCTGCCTCAGCACCATCACATCTGGCTTCTTTTTTGTAAAGACAGGTTTCACCATGTTGGTCAGCTGGTCTCGAACTCTCGGCCTCAAGTAATCCATCCACTTCAGTCTCCCAAAGTGCTGGGATTATAGGCGAGAGCCAGCATGCCTGGACCAGCACCACTTCTTATGTCCTGAATTCATATTAGCCTGTCTCCTTCTTGCACACACAGTGTTTCTTCTCATAAGTCAGCTTCTGTGCTGTACCTTTGATTCCTCACATACACTAAGCAGCATCTCCTGACTCTCCTACACTGGTTGGCAGCTTCCTTGGGGGATGCTGTGAGAGCCTTGTGTTCCTATGGTAGGCAACAGGGTGCATAGAGGTGTCTGCTCCTGCTGAGAGAATGGCTCCTGAAGCTCCCGATGTTGTTTACCCTGGAGTCCCTCATCATTTAAGCAAAGAAAGCAACAAATGCACCATCTTACTCTGAGATGGAAAGTCCCTCTTTACTTGGTTTTTCTCCTGGCACTGAAGGCAGAAAAAACAAGTAAAGAGTTTTTGTCATATGTCTCAGTCAGGAGACATCTTTGGCAAAGACCATGCCTATCCTCATGGGTCATTATACTGGTGCCCTCATCCATATTTTAAAGTATTTTTTTTTTTTTTTGAGACAGAGTTTCACTCTTGTTACCCAGGATGGAGTGCGATGACATGATCTCAGCTCACTGCAACCTCTGCCTTCTGGCTTCAAGCAATTCTCCTGCCTCAGTCTCCCAAGTAGTTGGGATTACAGGCACACACCAATACGCCTGGCTAATTTTATATTTTTAGTAGAGATGGCGTTTCACCATGTTAGTTAGGCTGGTCTCGAACTCCTGACCTCAGGTGATCGCCCTGTTTCAGCCCCCCAAAGTGCTGGGAATATAGGCGTGAGCCACCGCGCCTGGCCCGTACCTTTAAGTCTTTATGGCCTCTGTTCCAAAACTCATTCAGTAATTGTAGTTCTCAAACAAAGGTATTTTCTTAGGCACAGATTGACTTTCAGGACCCAGAAATCTATGTGTGCGACTTTGAAGCAAATCATTTAACTTGTAGTCTGCTTCTTCAACTCTTCTTCCTTCAGACACAGTGTGTTTATTATGGTATGCATTTATTATGGTATAGTACTGAATGTTCTGACTCCCTTTGTAAACAATGCAGGACAGGATTTTCCTCAAGTTGCCAAGTGAGCTTCAAACACTATGACTACACTATCTTTCCAGATGGTTTAGTTTATTCTAACTTCCTTTTTTTGTTTTTTCT